CAGACCGTGGAAGGGGGTAGAGAAGAAAATGTATATTAATATTATATTTTTTTTGAATCTAATATAAACACTCCCCCCGGGTTCGTACTTTTAAAAAAAATAAACATTAAGTTTAACCATCACCAGGTCATGCCAGGGCGGGTGTGAAAGGTGAATTCCCAGCCCAGAGCTCAGGGGTCAAGGCGGTGCAGGGAAGAAGCTCTCATTGGCCAGTGCAGCCGCTGTCACCCACCACACGGTCACAACCGGAGCCAGTTCGGTGGTCACCCCCTCCCCTGCCGTCCAGCCCAGTGTGGGGCACGAAGGGGTGCAGTGAGCGCGGGCGGCCCTCACCCACATGTCGTCCAAGGCCGTGTGTCCATCCCCCGGGAGCCTGTCGGTCTCGCCTGTGTGGCCAGGAGCAGGCTGGGCTTCCCCAGTTCCGGGTGTTGTGTTGTGTAAGAACTCTGCCACCACCCTGGGTGGCTTTGCTCACAGGCACGCGGGGACTATCGGGGAGGTGGGTGCGAGGAGAGGGGCTGGAAACCAGGGGATAGGACCGGGGCGGGGCCACCTGGAAGCAGGGGGGCCCAAGTGAGGCAGAGCCGTATGTTCAGGAGAGGGGAGTCCTTCGGCCGCTGCTGCCACCCTGGGGCCCCCTGGCCCGCAGGGGGTGGGGGGGCAGGACAGTGCTCTCAGTCAGAGGGTCCAGCTGGTGGTCACAGGGGGGCCGAGCCAGGACGGGGCACCAGCCTGAGGCTGGCTGAGGCTGGCTGCGGGGACCCCTGGCACTCCCTCCAGGCCCTGCCCCAGACACCCCAGTGCAGGCAGCTCCTCAGGTGCCCTGAGCTGTAGGCCCTGACACTTTGGGGTTCCCTGATGAACATGCCAGTAGGTCATGGGTTGGGGGTTCAATTCTTAGTGCTGGCAAAAGGTAAACCCAATTGTGTGTGTGCGCGTGCGTGCGTGTGTGCGTGTGCATATGTGTGTGTTGGGGTTTCCACAGGTTGTGAAGGCTGCCTGCCCTTCCTCGCATGGCCACCAGGGGGCGCGCGTGGCCAGGCGATGCCTGGCTCCCTGGGACAGGAGCCCCAATGCCTCCCAGCTGACTGGGGCCCACCACTTCCTGCCCGCACTTCACACGTGGGCACCCCAGCCCTGGTGGGAAGAGGCCCCATCCTCCCTGCCCCTTAATGGAACCAGGATTAGCAACTGTGGGTGCAAATGGCTTGAATGAGCTGACTCTCCTCCCCCCAATTATCGTGAATGGGTGCTGCCTGAGCGCTCCGCTGGGCCAGTGGCCCTTCCCTACAGGACACAGGAGGCTGCCTCACCTCCTCCTACGCGGGGAGCTGTTCCCCGTCACCTCGGGGCTGCATGGGGATCAGTGTCAGAGGACGGGCCGCAGTCGCCCGAGTGTCGAGTGTCCACGCGTCACGGCGGGTTACCCTGCGCCCCGCTCCCCCCACTCCCCGCCTTGGCCGCTGGCACTGGGGCAGTGTGGCCTCTCCTGCTCCCCCAGCCGCCTTCACCTGGCCCCGGCTCTGTCCCCCAGGGTGGTCCCACAAAGGCAGGGCCTCAGAAGCCACCAGGACAGGGGCCCGGGTCCTGGCGGGCTCTCAGCCGGCCTAATGCCAGCACCTTCTTCTGGGAGGCCAGCTCCCGTCCGGGTGTGGTGGCCACGCCCTCCTCCAGCCTGGTCTCCGTGCAGAGCCCCAGGCAGGTCCAGGGCGCTCCCGGGAAGACCTGGCTGAGGGTCACACCCTGCGTGGCCTCCAGGTGGCTACAACGGCCAGGCGCCTGGACGCCCAGGGGCACCGCTGGCCCTCACGCCTCTCACAGTGACTGTCGCCCGGCCTCTCTGGATCCGGGGCCTTTCAGGCTCAGCTGACCGCTCCCTGCAACTACGCGGGGGGTCACATGGCAGTGAGGTCTCCCGGGCCCCGGCTGAGGGACATTAGCGCAGCCCGGCCCCCCAGGGTGAGCGGACTCCTTGGGAGGAGGGGGCGTCCGCGGCCGGTGGGAGGCAGTGCTGTCCACCCCCTCGCAGCCAGGTGGGGCCTCCACACACGGCATTTCACTGTCTCAACAGCAAACGTTCTATGCACATGAGTTAAGGTTTCAGTGGCCGATTTTAGAACAGAAAGGAGCTGAGCCAGAAAGTACACTGGATTCTCCGCCCACTCCCTGTCTCCAGGATGACAGGTCTCTGAAAAAGGCGGAACCGACTCACCCTTCCACCCCCCGCCCCTGCCTGGGCCACCCCCACGTGTGGGGAGCCGGCACGGCCATGGCATACTCAGCGCCAGCTCAGCCTGGTTCAGTGACCCGAGTGGGGGCGGTGAAGGGCTTAGAACAGACAGACAAGAGAATGAAAGCTGGGTCTCGGGGGGACGCTGCTTCCCTGATGAGGAGACAGCGCCAGCGCCCACAGGCCATGTCTTTATTTTATAGCAGATGCCACGAGGCAAAGTAGGGGCGTGATCAAGATGTTAACAACTTTCTCGTGGGATTCAACCCTACTCAACTACATGCACCTGAACTCTATCACAAGGCACGTGGGGCCACGTGTTCGGACCATAGGTTCAAGCTCACAACTACAGCTGTTGGCTATCATTGTGCTGGGAGGGCTGTGGCAATGAGAGGACTGTGCCCCCTCCTCAGTCCAAGGCTTGAACCTGTCCAAACACTGTAGCCGTGCCCCACACCCACGGCTCCCTAGATGCACCCTGCATGCAGGGCTGGCCTGTCCTGGCTCAGAGGGAGGCTGCCCAGGGAGCCCGCGGGGCCACAGGGACCCCCCAGCACCCACACAGAGCCGGTGTGTGCAGGGTTTGCCCCCAAACACCGCCCAGTGACCTCTGAGCACGAGGTCAGAGAAAGCAGTGTGGGTGTCACGGGGAGGTGACCCCAAACACACTCTGCGGGTGGTGGGCTCTCGGGCTGGGCAGCGGAGCCAGAGCCACTTGTGGGCAGGAACCAAAGGGATCCTTGGCCCAGACGTGCCAGCCCCAAGCAGCATGGATCTGTGACGGATCAGAGCTCCGCACGGCCGGCTCACTGGGGAGAGGAGAGGGCGTCCCCTGGTTTTCACTGAGGACAGTGGACGGACAGATGGACCGTTCTCCTTAGCAGGACGGGCAGGTCTGTGAACATTGGCACAGCAGCCGAGTGCGGAGAGCGTTCACTGATTCACTCAGCTGCTCAGAGGACAGAGGGTCAGCCTCCTTACAGCCCAGCATCTCTGCGTGTTCCCTCCCGCCCCTCCCCCCCCCCATCTCCTGAACGCCTGGGGCTCTCGCTCCTGGACCAAAGGGCACGTTCAGGAGACTTCTGTTGGGATGTTGGGGGCAGAGCACTGACGGGGCCTCAGCTCCGGCCTTGATGTGTGGGTGGCGGCGACAGCAGCTGAGACGTCAGGGAGGACGAGGGGTGACCCCGAGGCAGGCTGGCCCGCCTCCTCCCGGGCTGCCTCTCCGGGCGCTGGCTCCGCAGCCCGGGGCTGATGACTCGGGAGGGGGCAGTGTCCTCTCCCGCGTCCCCCCTGACGCCTCCCTTCTCCGCAGCGTCATCATGACCGGGGCCTACAACAACTTCTTCCGCATGTTCGACCGCAACACCAAGCGGGACGTGACCCTGGAGGCCTCGCGGGAGAGCAGCAAGCCCCGGGCCGTGCTCAAGCCGCGGCGCGTGTGCGTGGGCGGCAAGCGGCGGCGGGACGACATCAGCGTGGACAGCCTGGACTTCACCCGGAAGATCCTGCACACGGCCTGGCACCCCGCTGAGAACATCATCGCCATCGCGGCCACCAACAACCTGTACATCTTCCAGGACAAGGTGAACTCCGAGATGCACTAGGTGTGCGGCCCGCCCGCCGGCCTTCCCAGGTCCCTGCACAGAGGTCCCCGCACGGCGGTCCCCACCCGCAGCCGCAGCACAGGCAGTGCATTGTGGGCGGGGGTCCCCGAGGCCCAGCCTCTCCCCGGCTTCCCTGGGCCCGGCGCCTTTAAGAGGAGAACAGGGATTCACAGCCACAGACCGCAAAACGGACGCGTCGTCGGCCTTGCCGTTCAGGGTTCCTCGTCCTCGTACTTGACCCCGCGCTGTCTTTCCCGCATTATTAGGGTTTTCACGTCTCCGGGTTAATTTTCCCCCCCGCGGTTCCTTACGCACCCCCTGTGGCCCCAGGTCGGGGCTGGGACAGATAATGAAGCTCGGACCAGCCAGCCGGGGCCTCGGACCCAAAAGGGCGTGGTTTCCAGGGCCCGGGAGCGGCGGCTCCCTGTGCGTGGGGACTGTGAGTTCATGCTGAGCCGTTGGGGACGCAGGCTCGTCGTTTAGGTTCTTCCCATGTCTTTCCATGTCCCGGTCCGTCAGGGTTCTGAGTGGAGGGGGTGCCCTCTTCCCGTGCGTGTGCCTGCTACGCCCGCCCGACTCCCCCAGCCTCTGCTGCGGGCCCGAGGCCTCAGGACACTCATGTGATCCCTGTGCCCCCAGCGCTTGTGCAGCCCCAGGCACCTCGTGGGGATTCCCCGCCCCGCCCAGGACCTTCTGGAATCCTCATGGTGACCTCCACGCACCCCCACTGCTCACCGTGTGCCAGGCTCCGTGCCAGGTGCCAGGAAGGGGAAGGTGAACGGTTCACCCCCATGACTCACACGAGGAAACAGGCCCCAGAAGGACCCACCGTTTGCCCAGGGCGTGCACCTGCGGGGGCGGGGGGTGCGTCAGTCCTGTCCGGGCCTTCCGCGGGCACCGACCTACCACGCTGGCGGCTCACGCTGAAACCACAGCCTGGCCCGGAAGCTTCTCATCACCTGTGAGCGGGACAGAGCAGGTGGGACGACGGGTCCCGGAGCAGGAGGTGCGGGGTGGAGAATGGAGAAGCCCCAGGGGCTCCCCACTGTTTGCTGGCTTCAGGAGCTCGGCCTCCCCACCTGCTCCCCCCACGCGGCCCCCTCTCTCCTCTGCGGACGCACTGACCCGCCTCCCGGAGAAAATTGCATGTTAGGACCATTTAGGCACCTTTCCTTTAGGGCCCCACCATCTCGGGACTCTCCTGGGGCCACGGCGTCAAAACCAGCTCCGCCCGCCCCACCCACCACCCACCCCGTCTTTGCCGGGAAGGGCAGCGGGACCGGGCTGTGCTCTTTGATTCAGAAAACAGCCTGCACAGGCCCCACCAATCCCAGCCTTTTTTGTTTTAACAAGATGTAACCTGACGCAGGAAATAGACCCACCCGAGATTCTTCTCCGTGGGCGACGGTGTACCCACCTGTGTGTGTCAAAGCACAAACGCATGGCGCTCGCCTCCGGCCGTTCACACGAGGGAAGGGGTCCGTGCATTCCTTTTTCTAATCAACGAGAATGAAGAACGTTTGTGTCTCATGGCAAGACCAGGCCGCTTGGCCGCCGTGACATGTACATACCCCTCCAATTAAGATGAACAATCACGGGATCAGATTCCGCCCACCCCCTTTGGAAAGAGGTTCGGGAATGGGGTCAGTTGTCTGGAATCTTGTGGAAGCCAGAATCCAGCTCTGAGGGCCTGACCCGGCTCCTGGGGTGTTCGGCACGACCGGTTCCCTCAGAGGTTGCGCCCCGGAGAGGAAGCCCGGCCTGGCAGCTGGGGGGCTGTCCGACCCCAGATCTCACACGCTCCGTCTGCCGGGTTCAGCTCTCACGCAGGACCCGAGGGAGGTCTGTGCACGGCTCCTGGCTCCTCACGTCTGTTTTAAACGTTGGCTGAGACCAAACCAAAAAGGGAAAGAAAGAAAACGATCTTCCCGAAGGAAAGCCCGTCTTGGGATCCCTGGGAAATAACGTCCAGAGAAGACTGAGTAACCAAATGTGTGTTGAGAAACGGTGCGGAGGGCGGAGGGCAAAGCCGGAACCGGCGGGAGGATCGGGAACAGTCACCGGCGTTGCTTCCCGGCGGTTGGTTTTTCTGCTCTTCGTGCCTGTGCCGGTCCTTGCGAGGCGGTGGCTGTCTGTCTTGTCAGCTCTCCGGGGCGGGCTGGGCGGCCTGGGGCCGTGCGGGGGGCGTGGACAGACTGACCATGGTGGACCCTGTAACTCATGGGTGCATTGTTTTCTTTGGTGTCTCACAAATTATCCAGCTGTTGAATAAAATTATAAATATGTGAATACCAGCCTTTTCCAATAAAATAACAAATGTTACATCGAAAATGAGGCTCAGGGTGCTGTTTGTTTTTTATTTATTTACTAGTGGCCTGGTGCATGAAATTCGTGCACGGGGCTGGGGGTGGGGTGTCCCTTCAGCCCGGTCTGCATCCTCTCCAATCTGGGACCTCTCAGGGAATGTCTGACTGCCGGTTTAGGCTCACCCCCAACTGCCCCCCACTGCCAGCCTGCTCACCCCCAACTGCTCCCACCTGCTGGCCTGATCACCCCCAACTGCCCCCACCTGCTGGCCTGATCACCCCCAACTGCCCTCCCCTCCTGGCCTGATTGCCCCTAACTGCCTCTGCCTCAGCCCCGCCACCATGGCTTTGTCCGGAAGAATGCTCCCTTTTATTAGTATAGATTTTTATTTATTTTTAATATATTTTTATTGATTTCAGAGAGGAAGGGAGCAGGAGAGAGAGAAACATCAGTGATAAGAGAGAATCATGGCTCGGCTGCCTCTTGCACACCCCACACTGGGGATCGAGCCTGCAACCCGGGCATGTGCCCCGACTGGGAACTGAACCGTGACCTCCTGGTTCATAGGTCGATGCCCAACCACTGAGCCACACGGGCCAGGCCGGTGTTGTTTTGACAAGGCCCATCACAGGGCGTGGGTCCGGTCCCAAGGCGACACACCTGGGTGCAGGGAAGCCCGGACCACTCCAGGCTCTGCTGCCTCCAGCTCCCAGTGCAGCCTGGGATCTCTCCAAGCTGAGTTCATCACCGAGGAAATGGAGCTGATCATCCTGGGCCACGTCGTTTCAGGAGGGAAAGGGGTTGCGTGGCTGCGCGGCGAGGCCTGCAGGGCTCGTGCTTGGCCATGAGCCTCCGCATTGGGGAGTTAGTTTTGAAGCTGGCGAGCATCACCCCCCATGATTTCCCAGTCCTCACACTCTCCCAGGATCTTTAGGTTTTTCATATCCACCGTGAGAATGTGGTGCAGACGAGGAAGTCGAGGTTCTGAGAGGTGAAGGATGAGCTGGAGCCGCCCAGGGGGAAGGGCCAGGGAGGTGGGGCGTGAGGCCACCGCCTGGAGGAAGGGGCCGGCGCAGGGAACCTGGGCTCATCCGGGGGTTAGAAAAGGCAGGACTCGGACTCTCCCCCAGGGTGTCCGGCAGGAACCAGCCCTGCCCACACCTCCATTTCCGGGAGACCTGCCGGACTCCCGACCCAGGCCTGTAAGAGAAAAGGTGTGCAGTGCTAAGCTGCTCATTTGTCCCACGGGCCCTGGAAAATGAATTCACTTGGGCACCTTCATTCCATCTCCCACCCCCCCTGCTGGCTGATTCCTGCAGCTCTCACAGCTGAGGGCCCTCAGGCGGGTCCCGGCCGGCCTGTCGGACACATGAGAGGGCAGTGGAGGTAGAGCCACCGGACTCCACGCTGCCCTCGTTGGGGGTGGCAGGTGGGATCCTGCTGGGAGCTCCTGGCAATACTCAGGGGCTGGCACCCACATCGTGGCTTAGTGGGGTGGGCGGGTGGGGGCGCCTAGAAGGCCAGGGACACGTGGGGAGCTGGGCCCCTGGGCTGGGTGGGCTGCAGGCAGGCTCCCCCTGGGTCTGCACACGTGGACGGCCCCGGGGTCAGAGCTGTGTACGGACCACGATGAGGCTGGGGAGTAAGGAGCTAGGAAAATTCCTTGGCTCGTGGAATGGGGAAACTGAGACAGCGGGACACACCGCCGAGCAACTTACTGCCAGATACAGGCGGTCCC